TTTTTATTATATTTTTTACCCCGCGATCTTTTTAATTTCTTTTTTTAATTTTTTTTATCCCCCCCGCGAGCTTTTTTATTTTTTTTTAATTTTTTCAATAAAATTATTTTTATTTAAATACAAAATAAAACAAATGGGTGACGTAGTAACCCACAATGAAAAACAATTCCTAGTTCATAATTAAATTCTTTGTTAAAAAAATTTGGGTAAAAGTACATTAATTATCGAATTTAGGATATGGTTTCGTGTTGAGATTAAGTTAATTTTCAATCCTAACACTGAATTAAACTCTTCAGCGATATGTAACGAAATCAGATCATAAAGATCACAGCTTAAACAAAATAGAAAGTAAATATTTATTCGGATTCGGACCAGTCGAAAATAAAGATATAATAATAAAAAATACAAAATAAAGATACAAAAGAAGAAATAAATTAAAATAGTAAGGTATTACAGGAATTAAATAATAAGTAGAAATACAAAAAATAAAAAAAGAAATTACAACTACATTTTTTTTAACTTAAATCGATCGTTTTCTTTTTGTTTTTCGGCTATAAAATCGAAAAGATTGTTGCATAGATCTTTTACATTTGTCAATATAATCCCATGCACCCGTCCGGCTTTTTGCTCCGGATAAATATCCGGAGGACGCCACCACGATACTGATTTTTCCATGGTATTCACGTCAGATGAGCACCCCTGCAAGCTTTCCGCGATGCTACGACCTAATTGCGTTTCAAGAACGATTAATTGCGTTTCATTTTTTTGATAATACATGTACTTTTGATACAATACCTATTTTATTGGCCCAATTCTTGCATTGGATTGCAAATTCGTGACTTGCAGCCTCTCCAGAGATATCGATCCCACCATCTCCAGGCCCACTAAAAAATAATAATATAAAAAGAATGAGTACTTGCGCCATTATCATCGAGATTCAGCAGAAAAACATCGGAAATAGGGAAAAAAGTTCACGATCGAGACTGTGGCCACGAAGAGCTTTCGATTCCCTATTTTAGACAAACAATGACTCGACAAATATTTCAGTGATATACTCACCTATTTTTATTATTTTTGACTCCTACAGCATCCAATATATTGGCAGTTTTGTCTTCTAGTTCCTTTCCTTTTTCGAAATTGTTCATTGTATTTGTTATGATTAACAAATAGAAATGAGTTGATTGAAACTTTTTTTTACGACTAGTCGAATCCGAGTCGAACAATGATCGAGTTCAAGTCGAATTCGGTTTCTGTAATTATTAACGGGTTCGAGTTCGAATATGCCTTAAACTCGACCAGACCTGACCCGACCCTTAATTAGCACTAGTTAATGATGTTGATAGTCATTTTTCGTGTTGAATGTAGAAGGGATCTATCAATACTAATGCTCCATTTAGAGATTTAAAAATTAACTGTGATAAAAAATTTAAAGTTTAATTTATGTAAAAAATTAAAATAAATTACAATCATTACAATTATAATCTTTAAACATACGTTTTATATTTGGATACAGACCACCACAACAATTACGAGAATATTTATGAGGCAACACCACCTAACGAAGTTCCTCATCTCATTGAGCAAATTAACGTGCTCTTCTCGTAATTGTCTCATTGTCATTACATCACCAGCATTTCGCCGGGATGTGGTTCGACCCGTCGTGGTGGTGCTTCTTTTTCGTCGCGCAGCTTAAGGAGCAGGAACAGCATCATGATCATCTGCTGGTGGAAGAGGAGGAAGGTAGGGAAGAAGGAAGGGAGTTTTTTTTTAAAACAGCTGGAAAATAATGTGTAAAATAATAATCCATAAATGTTAAAAAAACCCATTTCACTCTTTACTTATTCGCTCGAAAAACGAAATATACTTTTAAATAGAAAAAGAAAAAAATAAAGGTTTGGAAACTTTTAAACACTTTTTTATTAATTTGAGTGAAAGTAAAACTTTTTTAGAATAAACCATTACGTATCATATCGGCAACATCTATTACTCTAATAATCGAACTTTCTGGAAGATTTTAGAATAAAACATTAGTCATATCGACATCTATTAATTTTTATTAACAAAAAAAAAAAAAAATAGATTCTTTGGAACGCTCCTGCCAAAATGTCCTGGTTTCAAAAGAATTTGACATTAATATCGTATTTTAAAAACTCGACAATGATTTATGTCGTGGCGTAGCAATTTTCTTGAATACCAACCAATTTTCAGTTTTTTTTTTTGATTCAGGTTCTGTTGTTTAGTGCAATAACGATTCGACATTTCTTTTACTCTAAATTTGGTTTTTTTTTTTTAATATTTATAATTTTTTTTTTTAATCATTCTTTTTTTGGGTTCGAATGATTAATCAAAATAGGCAAGAGTTTTCTCATTGTTTCGATTTTTTTTTTATTTTTTCTTTTAAGGTGGGTTCGATTATTTCCATTGTGTCCATCGATTGACTTATAGTAGATTTTCTCATTAATGGTACTATTTTCTACTTTTGCTTCAGCCCGCGATATTTCTTTCTTCTCTTTTATTTTCGGATTAGTTTATTTTCTTCAGGCACGCTGCGATCGAACATTTTCTTTTCATCTATCCTCCCTTTAGCTTTATTGAATTTTTTTCTTTAGGTACTTCTTTCGGTTTAATTTGAATCTGGAAGTAGACAAGGCAATTTGCTTAATTATCTTAATTTATATTTTATTTTATGGCTTTAATCGCTTCGAGATGAAACGATCGAATAATACTTGACACCAGGGTGGTCGTGGATGTTAAATTACGCATCATCGCATTTATTGTGCCACTAAAAATTGATACGATTTCTTAATTCGATTTTCGTTAAATTCGATTTTGTAGAAATAATTCCAATCCTTATTTAAAAAAGTCATATGTTATCGCATGGGTTAATTAAGTCAACAAAACGAGAAACAAGAAAAGTGTTTAAATAATTATAAAGCTAACAATTTCTTTCAGCTTTGCACTTATACGATTAGCCCATACTAATAGAATAGTTATGGAACATAAACGATCGATGTCGAACTGCAACCAGAAATTTCACAAGGTACGTCGTTAATGATTCTTTTAAAATTTATCAATCAATTATCGCATTGTAATTATTTTAACATCAATTTTTACGGTTATCGGTCTCACAAACATGGGAATCGCTAATGCTTATTTCGTCATGATGATAGAACACGTGTTAAAAGGTTGGAATTAATATAATATATAAGATGAACCTTTACAAATATAATTTAAACTGCGCTTTATTACAGGTAAAGTGACTATGTAATTATTAGCTGAAATGGTTTATACTATGGTTTTTCATTTGAACATTTGTATTATTAATTTGTAAAGATTTACGATTCCTCAGGAATCATTCCATATAGGTTTGAGAGATCAATAGTGACACACATACAGTACATATATGAAAAGCAAAACGAATCGAAAATATCATTGATAAGTTGTGATTTTACGAGATTAAAAATAAAACCCCCATACTAAACGAACAGGTAGCACTAAGTGTTGAATTAAAACATTTCGAGTGAATGATCCATGTTTTGTTTCACGTGCCTAAATAAATAAAAAATTTAAAAAACAGCAAATACGAATTTTCTTCGTTAATTTTAATATTGATAAGCCAAAGTTTAATGCACTGCCAATTTTCTTTATGACTTATAAATTTATTTAGTTAGTGAAATTTATAAAGTTTAAGCGGTAATAAATATAAATTACTTTTTTCAAATACAAGTTTCTGCTTTTTTTCCTTTTCTGGTCTTTAACTATATACGACACAAATATTTTGAGCTTCGTTATTATACCGTGTTATAGAATTTGAGTAAAAAAGGTTTTGAGCCTATATAACGGCTCTTCGCCTCGCATATATTATAAAGCTTGAAATTTTTAATAAAGTTCGTTTTAAAATGTTCTAACCGTTAAACTTTATTTTTTTTTTTTTATATGAACCCATCAAGCTCAAATTATTTTAGAAGATAAAACGATTAAATTTATTTTCAGGGATCCAACTAAAGTTGAAAAAGACAGATGGAGAAGTGTATATAATAAAAATAATAAAGTTAGTGTTGTTTTGTTTTAAAACCTTAAAGTTTCTTTTGTTCAATTTTACGAGCAACATTAGGAAATTCAAGGGCAATTCTCACCTTTTCAAGTCATCATTTAAGTATTAATTTTAATGTGGTTATAAAAGCCACTTTACGGGTAATATTAAAATATACAGATGCTTTAAATTTATTTGTATGTAAGGATAACTTATTTTACTTATTTTAGTGTATATTATATAAATATAGTCATGTCATTGTATTAAATATAATTCATTTCTATCGGGGATAAATCAAGAGTAAGAATATCACAAGGAAAAAAGAGAGTGATAATTTTCATTTTATCCGGTATCCCGTGATTTTTTATAATTAATGATGACTATAATAAATCGGTTATCAGGCAAAAAATCATTTATCAGGCAAATAATCGTTTATCAGGCAAAAAATCATTATCAGGCATTAATAATTTTTATTAAGCATTATTTTTATTAATAAAATTACATTTAAAACTAATTAATTATATATAGTACAATTTGAATAATAAGTTTTATTAATAATTATTTTTTTTTCCTTTCTTTTTTTCTTTTGACTTGTATTTAATTCGGAAGATGAAA